ATACAATTCCCACTCCCCTTATTTTGACCATAATCCCTCCTACCCTTCATCCCCCATAGTGTGTCTCTGGTTTATAGTTTGCTTGTTGATTTTGATTTTGATTTTATTATAATTAGTCTTTTTCCTGGTCCCTTATTTAGGTTTTCTAAATTCCTACTATGAATGAGACCATCCGGTATTTTTCTTTTTCTTTCTGGCTTATTTTGCTGAGCATCATCCCTTCTAGCTCTATCCATGTTGCTGCAACTTGCATGAGTTTATCTTTTTTGATTGCTGAGAAATATTCCATTGTGTATATGTACCACATCTTCTTGATCCAGTCATCTATTTTTGGGCATTTGGGTTGTTTCCATAGCTTAGCTATTGTAAATAGTGCTGCTATAAACATAGGCATGCAGGTGCCCTTTGGAATTAATGTTTCTGTGTCCTTTGGGTAAATACCTAGGAATGGAATTGCTGGATCATATGGAAGCTCCATCTTTAGCAGACTGAGGAATCTCCACACAGCTTTTCATAGTGGTTGGACCAATTTGCACTCCCACCAGCAGTGCAGGAGAGTTCCTTTTTCTCCTCATCCTCGCCAACATTTGTTTTAATATGTGCCATTCTCACTGGTGTTAAGATGGTATCTCATTGTAGTTTTGATTTGCATTTCTCTGATTTCAAGTGATGTTCAACATTTTTTCATATGCCTGTTGGCCATTCACATTTCCTCTTTGGAGAAGTTTCTTTTTAGCTCTTCTGCCCATGTTTTGACTGGATTATTTACTTTGTTTTTGTTGAGACTCTTCAGCCTTTGTAGATTTTTGTGATCAGTCCTTTATCATTAGTGTTGTGTGTAGAAATTTTCTCCCAGTTGGTGGGGCGTCTGTTTGTTTTCGTTATTGTCTCATTTGCTGTACAGAAGTTCTTTAATTTGATGTAGTCCCAGCTGTTTATCTTTGCCTTCACTATCACTGCTTTGGGTGTTGAGTCTTTAAGGAAGTTACTGAGGTGTATGTCATGTAGTGTTTTGCCTATATTTCCTTCTATATATTTTGTGGTTTCAGGTCTTATGTCTAGTTCTTTAATCCATTTGAGTTGGTTTTTGTGCACGGTGTGAGGTAGTAGTCAAGCTTCATTCTTTTGCATGTAGTGACCCAGTTTTCCTAGCACCGTTTATTGAACAAATTTTCTTTGCTCCATTGCATATTCTTTGCTCCTTAGTCAAAGATTAGTTGACTGTAAATTTGTGGGTTTATTTCTGGATTTTCTATCTGGTTCCATTGATCCGTGAGTCTGTTCCTGTTACAGAACCATGCAGTTTTGATGATTATGACTTTGTAGTATAGTTTGAAGTCTGGGAGTGTGATGCCTCCATTCCCTTCTTTTTTTTTTTTCCCCCAGGAGAGCTTTGGCTATTTGGGGTTTTTGGTGGCTCCATATGAATTTCATCAATATTTGTTCTGTTTCTTTGAAGAATGTCATTGAAATTTTTATTGGAATAGCATTGAATCTGTAAATTGCTTTTGGTAGGTTGGCCATTTTGATAATGTTAATTCTTTCAATCCATGAGCAGGGGATGTCTTTCCATTTCTTTGTGTCTTCTTCTATTTCTTTTAACAGTGTTTTATAGTTTTCTTTGTATAGGTCCTTTACCTCTTTTGTTAGATTTGTTCCCAAGTATTTGATTTTTTTTTTTGTTTCAATAATAAAAGGGATGGTTTTCTTGATTTCTTTCTTCAGATTTATTGTTTGTGTATAGGAAGGCTACTGATTTTTTGTGTGTTGATTTTGTGTCCTGCCACTTTACTAAATTGATTGATTAGTTTGATTAGTTTTTCTGTGGAGTTTTTGGTGTTCTCTAGGTATATTATCATATCATCTGCAAATAGTGATAGTTTGACTTCTTCCTTCCCATTTGGATTCCTTGTTTGTCTTTCTCTTATCTTATTGCTCTGGCTAAGACTTCCAGTATTATATTGAAAAGCAGTGGTGAGAGTGGACATCCTTGTCTTGTTCCAGACCTCAGTGGAAATGCTTTCAACTTTTCACCACTGACAATGATATAGGCTATCGGCTTGTTAGCCGTATGTTGCGGTATGTTCCTTGTATCCTTAGAATTTCTCTTTTTTTATTATTTAAATTTTATTTTTATATTCCCCTTACATATACAACCCCCTTATTATGACCCCAAGCCCTCCTTTCCCTGCCCCCCATCCCGCACAGAGTGTCTCTGGTTCATAGTTTTTGTTGATTTTGATATCTTCTTTCTTATAGTTATTCTTTTTCCTGGTCCCTTATTTATGTTTTCTAAATTCCTGCTATGAGTGACACCATCCGGTATTTTTCTTTTTCTTTCTGGCTTATTTCGCTGAGCATGATCCCTTCCAGCGCCATCCATGTTGCTGCAAATTGCATGTGTTTATCTTTTTTGAATGCTGAGTAATATTCCATGGTGTATATGTACCACATCTTCTTGATCCAGTCATCTATTTTTGGGCATTTGGGTTGTTTCCAAAGCTTAGCTATTGTAAATAGTGCTGCTATAAACATAGGGGTGCAGGTGCTCTTTGGAGTTGATGTTTCTGTGTCCTTTGGGTAAATACCTAGGAGTGGAATTGCTGGATCATATGGAAGCTCTATGTTTAGTAGGTCAAGAAATCACCACACAGCTCTCCATAGTGGTTGGACCAGTTTGCACTCCCACCAACAGTGCAGGAGAGTTCCTTTTTCTCCACAACCTCACCAACATTTGTTGTTGCTAGTTTTTTTAATATGTGCCATTCTCACTGGTGTAAGATGGTATCTCATGGTAGTTTTGATTTGCATTTCTCTGATTACAAGTGATGTTGAACATTTTTTCATATGCCTGTTGGCCATTTGCATTTCCTCTTCAGAGAAGTTTCTTTTTAGCTCTTCTGCCCATTTTTTAACTGGATTATTTTCTTTGTTTTTGTTGAGTCTCATCAGCTTAGTAGATTTTTGTGATCAGTCCTTTATCATTAGTGTTGTGTGCAAAAATGTTCTCCCAGTCAGTGGGATTTCTCTTTGTTTTTGTTATTGTCTTTTTTGCTGTGCAGAAGCTCTTTAATTTGATGTAGTCCCAGCTGTTGATCTTTGCCTTCACTGTCACTGCTTTGGGTGATGTGTCTGTAAAGATGTCTTTGATGTGCATATCATGTAGTGTTTCGCCTATATTTCCTTCTATGTATTTTATGGTTTCAGGTCTTATGTCTAGTTCTTTAATCCATTTTGAGTTGGTTTTTGTGTATGGTGTGAGGTAGTAGTCAAGCTTCATTCTTTTGCATATAGTGACCAGTTTTCCCAGCACCATTTATTGAATAAACTTTCTTTGCTCCAATGCATAGTCTTTGCTCCTTTGTCAAAGATTAGTTGACCGTAAATCTGTGGATTTATTTCTGGATTTTCTATTTTATTCCATTGGTCTGTGTGTCTGTTATTGTTCCAATACCATGCAGTTTTGATGATTATGGCTTTGTAATATAATTTGAAGTCAGAGTGTGATGCCTCCATTCCCTTTTTTTTGTTTTTCAGGAGAGCTTTGGCTATTTTGGGTTTTTGGTGATTCCGTATGAATTTCATCAATAATTTTTCTATTTCTTTGAAGAATGACATTGAAATTTTGATTGGAATAGCATTGAATCTGTATATTGCTTTTGATAGGACGGCCATGTTAATAATGTTTATTCTTCCAATCCATGAGCAGGGGATGTCTTTCCATTTCTTTGTGTCTTCTTCTATTTCTTTTAACAGTGTTTTATAGTTTTCTTTGTATAGGTCCTTTACCTCTTTTGTTAAATTTATTCCCAAGTATTTGATTTTTTTTTTGTTTCAGTAATAAAAGGGATGGTTTTCTTGATTTCTTTCTTCAGATTTATTGTTTGTGTATAGGAAGGCTACTGACTTTTGCATGTTGATTTTGTATCCTGCCACTTTACTAAACTGATTGATTAGTTTGATTAGTTTTTCTGTGGAGTTTTTGGGGTTCTCTATGTATATTATCACATCATCTGCAAATAGTGATAGTTTGACTTCTTCATTCCCTATTTGGATTCCTTGTATGTCTTTCTCTTGTCTTATTGCTCTGGACTTCCAGTATTATATTGAAAAGCAGTGGTGAGGGTGGACATCCTTGTCTTGTTCCAGATCTTAATGGGACTGCGTTCAGCTTTTCGCCATTGAGAATGATACTGGCTGTTGGCTTGTCATATATGGCCTTTATGATGTTGAATTATGTTCCTTGTATCCCAAGAATTTCAAGGGCTTTTATTATGATTGTGTGTTGCACTTTGTCGAAAGCTTTCTCAGCATCTATTGATATTATCATATGGTTTTTATATTTCTTTTTGTTGATGTGTTGGATAACGTTGATTGATTTTCGGATGTTGAACCATCCTTGTGTTCCTGGAATGAATCCTACTTGGTCGTGGTGAATTATCTTATGGTGTATCCTTAGAATTTCAAGGGCTTTATCATAAATGTGTGTTGTACTTTGTCGAAAGCTTTCTCAGCATCTATTGATATTATCATATGGTTTTTATATATTTTTTTGTTGATGTGTTGGATTACATTGATTGATTTTCGTATGTTGAACCATCCTGGAATAAATCCTATTTGGTCATGGTGAACTATCTTATGGATACTTTGTTGGTCTGATGGCTAATGTTTTAAGGATTTTTGCATCAGTGTTCATTAGAGAGATTGGCCTGTAGTTTTCTCTTTTTTGTTTTGTCCTTGTTTGGTTTTGGTATTAGTGTAATGTCGGCTTCATAGAACATGTTTGATATTATTCCTTTTCAATTTTTTTAGAGTTTGTGAAGGATAGGCACTAATTCATTTCTGAATGTTTGGTAGAATGCATTTGATACAATGTGACCTCGTTCTGAGTCATTGTCACCAGTAATGGGGAAAAATAATAGCTAACCCAAAGGATTGTTGAGAGGATTAAAGAAAGACCCTCACACTGTGACGTTTGTGGAAAATGTAGGTTGATTTTTATTGCTCATTGACTGTATATACGGAAAGAATGATTATTTTTTATAATTTATTCCTTTACATATTGAAAATCAGATTAAACTATTTCAAAACCTGACATTTTCCTGTGAAATCCACCTAGTGGGATAAACACATTTTGATATTCTTTGACTTCTGTGTTTAACATCCACATGCCACTTTGAGATCACCTAGTTTTATCCAGGCACTTTCACTGGCTTATTTTTCTTTCTGAGTTCCTTTTGAGAGTGTGTCCTGTTACTGTGTGCTGTCTATACATTAGAGGGTGTCAAGTTGCTTTCTAAGTGTGAAGACATGATGTGAGCACTTAAACATTCATTGACATGTTCGCTGAAATGAGGCAGGTGCTATGTGGAAGATGCAAACAGGTTATAGACAGACATGACTGTTTTCGTGGCATGTGGTATCCACATCAGCTACAGACAGGTAAAGCTTTCCACCTGGACACACACAAATTTCATAGAGGCTTTGTGAGCTGCCGGCAGGACTCCAAGTCCCATCAGCCAACTTGGGTAATAACAAAGTTTCAGCATCAAGCACAAGCTGTTTGAGAGAAAAATGGGAGAGGAAGTAGTAAAGTAGGAATGAACGTGATAAACATGAAATCCACATTCTCAAATGGTTCCAAATTAATTTTTTTCTCTGCATAGAGAATACAGTAGGCAACTGGCTTTACTTAAGTCATATTATAACTATCTGATTTTTTTGAAGCCTAGTTCCTGATTCACATTCAGTCAGGAACTTAATAATTCCTTCTCTAAATTGGAGAAAAGTTACTTTTTCTTTTACCCATTGTGGTAGTTAGGGAAATTTGCGATTATATATCTTAAAAATTCTTTTATGGATTATCTGACAAAAACTGGAATTATTTTGCTGAGTCACAATTACCTGTGGTCCACACTGTATGCTGGCTTATCTTCTCCTCAATAGGATAACATACAACTCACAGAAATATATTTATCTTAATAATTTCTACCTGAGAATGTTGGAATTTATCCTGGTTTTATTTTTCTATGAGAGGCAAATTCATCATTAGCTATCTACAATTTCCCTAACTTGTTACTATTATTTGAGACTATGCTGCCTTCTAATAGATGCTGAAAAGCAGTAGGTACACAGACTAAAACCAACCAAATAAAATGAAAGTTGCCAAATTTTTGCATCCTATTAAAATCTATTTAAACTGAACTGCAAACATATTCTGGCCAATGATTGAAATCTGGAAGTCTTTTGAAAAATAAAAATAGTCATATTGAGCAGCAAAATGTTACCTAGTCTAGGGCACTCGCTTTTTAGAAGGAATTAAAGTGTATTGTAGGCAGGCATCATTTTCTTCCAACAAAGTTAGAGCTTTTGGCTTACATAACACCCATGAATTCCAGTCTTTTAATAAATTGATATTTGCAGACTGTATTTCCTCTTGGCATGCTGACCATATGTGGGAATCTAGGAGTGTATTGCTGGGAAAGCTCTACTCTGGTCTGGGACACTCAGAGTAAAATAACCAATTAGGTGGGTTTTTGGGGTTTTTTTTTTTGTCTTTTTTTTTTTTAAAGAAGAACCTATTTAAGTTACTGTCCAGTGTTTGGGGATCTTTGGTTGTTTTTCCCATATATACTTTGCTTTCCCTAACTTGTTAGCTTCTCATCTTTCTTGTGGTTCGTTGGTATTCTTTAGTTAATTGGTCAATTTTTTTCCTGCTTTTGTAACTAGTAGTCCACATACTGCTTCCTGGCTCATCTTTATTTGCCTTTGTGAGACAATATTTTGTGGGATGCCACACATGTCTTCACATTGACCTAGCTCCTAGTAATAAGGAATATAAGCATTAAATGTGGGTCAGGACATATACTTCTTGTAAAAATGACAATTTATGGAAACCACTAATATTTCAAAATTAAAACCCATACATACATTTTCAGTGTAATAAATTTTCAAGTATGTAGTAACTTCATGATTTAGTAATGAAATTCCAAAATTTTTGATTTCTATTTTTCTATTCATCTGCAGCTCTTGACTTCATACCAATGAGTTGAAACTTTCAGGGGCTTTTCCAGATGACTTGTGTAGGTCCTGTCCCGAGCTGCCACTAAGGACACTATTTGCTACCTCAGCTACACCAACCTTTTAATATAATTTCACAATGTTGTCATACATGCTGCCACATTGGTGTTTCAGAACCTCATGACATAGGTAAGCAAATATTTTTTTCCCTATTTTATAGTAAGATAGACCTCAGAGGCTTGTTAACTGTCCTGAATTCAAATTAGTGTATTGATCTAGTCCTAGAAAAATACATACTGGGTAGCATGTGAACTATTGCCACATTATGACTTCTTTTATCAGTGATTTTTTTCTTTCTGGACTTGAAGTTCCAGGTTTTATCCTCATTGAAGCTGTCTTTAAAGCTCTTTTCATATTTAATTTCCATTTAAACACTGTTTTTTTGTAAGCAAGAATAATGCTTTAGGCAATATCAGATGATGGTTATCATTTGCAGGTAATTCTCAGAGTCAATTGAAATGGCAGAATTGATAGTCTCTGTAAAATCAAAGTCTGTAGTATTTTTCCAAAGCTTAAAATAATAAGAGACTTTATATAGCACAAATACCAATCCAAGAAATTTGTGTGAATCCAATATAAAATCATTTTAACTGTTTTTGGCCCTTCTTTTAATGCTAACTTATCTTTTGCCTTCCTTTTCGGTTTCTGCTCTTCGACTTTCATAATACTTCTTTACAAACTGCTATAAATTTAAGGTACTGATACCTTAAAGGACATGATACTAGTATCATCAGGGGCTTGATTTATTGAACTCACCATTCCATCACTACTATGAAAAATGATATCCATTTGAGAAAGGCCCTCAATTTTCCCAGCATGAGCTTTAATATAAACACCCTTTGGGGCATCCATGCTTAGACTCCGTGTGGGGGCTTCTAATCTGAAATGGGGAAAAGAAACCAAGAAAAAATAGTATTAAAAAAGTCACCCCAATAATGAACAGTTCAGCACAGAAATATGGTTAATAAAGTATATAGTATCTCTGTGTCATTCTTGAATGTTAACATATTGTATATTATTCATTGATAAATTCAGAAATAATGTGCAATAAATAAACTTAGCTTTAATGAGAGTTTATGAAATTAGTGTGCCCTAAAAGTAGATAAAAACATTAAACAGCCCAACCCTACACAGCAGTTTCAGATGTTTAAACATTTTGGCATAGCACAACAGAAGAAAATTCTACTTGTGAATAACTCCTAAAACTAATTTTTTAAGTTAAAACACAAATTTGTTTTGGAAAAATACAGATTTAAGTACAATATATGTATTTGTTACATGTTCATAAAATAGAAAATAAGTTTGTCCTTTAGGTTTTGTTTGCATTTTTTTTATAATTTAGGAAGATTGTTACAGAGCAGATGCAAGGATTGTTTTAAGAAGCCTTGTACTCTACAGAACGAGGAAGACACACACATGAAGAGGTAATGGCAAATAATTTTCCAGAATGTAAAAAATAACAGGAGTTTCTAAAATTGAAACAGTATGTCAAGACACAAGTATGAATTCAAACATACCCAACACCCAAACACTGTGGCTAAACTGCACAATATTAAGATTAGTGAGAAAATCTTGAAAATATAATGAAGATCAGATTGATTACAAAGAACCTAAAGTGCCTAGTAGTACTTTTAAAATGCTGATGTAAATTTAGTCAGTCTGGAGGAGATATACTTCAACTTAACTATTATTCAACTCTGAAGGAATTAGACATTTCAGACCCAGAGGGGAGAAGTTTACTATAGATCCTTACTGATAAAAGTACTTATGGAAATGAAAACCAGAAGAAAAGAGTATTCTGCAAGAAGCAGAGTAGACATTAGAAAAATTAATAAAATGTGTCATTAAAGATAAATATGGGGCCTCTTTGATGGCGCAAGGGGTTAAGACGCAACCTATGAAGTCATCCACAGTCGCTGCAAGCATGAGTTCAATCCCCGGCCAGGGAGCAACCCACAGCAGACCTCTCCTGTCTCACCCGCTGCTCCCCTCAGCAGTATATTTCAGTCAATCTGCCTATTCTGTTCCCCACTCTGTCTCTGGTGAATCCTCTCACCACCCCCATACCTCTGGCCTGTACCCCAGTTCTTATATGCATAAATAAATAAATATTAAAAAAATAAAGATAGGGCCTCCCCTGGTGGCACAGCGGTTGAGCGCTGGGCTGTGAGGCTACCCACAGCCTCTGCAGCGCCGGTTTGTTCCCCGGCCGCTGGCGAGGGTCCCACAAAAAAAAAATATATGTATATATATTATAAAATATATGTATAAAAATATATATGTATATATATATATATTTTATATATATATAAATATGTATTGCCTGAAAAATATAACAGTGGAAGACAAGTAAAAATAAAAATTGAGAGGGAAGTTTGGATAGAAATAACTTTCTAAATTTGTTAGTATTATTTGGGAAAATAATGAAAATGCCTTAGAAAGTACTAATTTATCTCCATGCATGTGAAGAATAATCATTAGAAGAATAAATATAGAATATTGAAAGGAAAAATGAGTGGGGAGAATAATAGAAAAATTACTAATCAAAAAAATCAGAACAGAGAAACAATGAAAAGAAGCAGCACAGTAAATCATATAAAAATATAGCAAGTAAACCAATGATCATAATATGTAAATGGTTAAATTCATCTATTAAAAGTTAAAAAATATATAGGGGTTAAAAGAAAAGCTCAATTCAAGAAAATTACCCTAAGAGAAATAACTAAAACATAATAGGGCAAAAATATTGAAGAAAAAGTTTGGGAAAAGGTAAATTAGTACAAAGGAAAGTAGACCTGTGTATAATAATATTAACACCAGACAATATAGGGGCAATGACTTAATGATTCAAAGGAACAATTAACAAGATTAGTTGACACAGACTTGTATGCATCTAAAAATGCATAATGAAGAGGAAAGTCAACAATATAAAATTATAGTGGGAGTTGTAACAAACTTCTTTGTGAACTGATAAAGAAGGCAAGTATAAGTATATAGAAGATACTAACAATGGAATTCATAATTTGGTATAATAGTATATATATGTGTATATATGTGTATGTATATATACATGTATATCTATGTATATATATACACCTTGCTGTAAAGAAAAGGACATACTTTCATCATAAAAATTTATTAATTCCTCTCTGCCAAAAATCTGGAAATCTTAAGTAGGAAGGAAAAATTTCTACCAAGAAATAAAGAACTAAAATGGACTTAAAAATAGAAAAATTGAAAATAACTTCATTAAAGAACTGGCATTGATAGAATAAAATCCAATCTCCCCCAAAGTACTGGTTTTTTTCATTCTGCAGATGAGTTTATATCAAATTTTCAATTGTTCTTATTCCTTGTTTCAAAGACGAGGGAAAGGAGACCTGGGAACTTAGACTAAAATGGAAATTTCCTAACTTGATAATAGATATTTACCAAAAATCTATAGCAGACATCATTTAATTTGGAAAGTTAGAAACATTTCTCAAAGTCAAGAAGTTCACACATATTTCCATCATTTTGCTGGCAGAGCAATTAAGGAGAGCATCTTGAAAGAGAAGCGGGGTCAGCCATGGCTTCTGCAGCACAATGACACAGTATACTCACAAATATGTTTAAAGGCCTTGAGGCTCTCACTTTGCAAGTTCACAATGGTATTATTTATTTGTTGTTTAATACAATACAAATATACTATTTGTATTTGGAATATACAGTTACAGCAGTAAATGACATTCAGTAGTCTAATGATAAAGTAAATATACATGGGCATATATAGCAGGAATTAGGTAATTTTATATATTCTGATATTATTTAAGGATGTACTAAAGGTTACAGACATGTTAAGTGAAGTGAGCCAGTTATAAAGGGACAAAGAGGTAATTCCACTTATATGAGGTACACTTAGAGTAGTCAAATTTATAGAAACGGAAGGTAGAAAAGTGTGGCCATGGGTTGGGGTGGGACTAATATCACTGGGTATGAATACATAATGATTAATTATAAGCAGAAAGTCATGAAAATAAAGACAACAAATGGAGTAAGAATCTGAAAATAACTACTAAAACATTATCCCAGCACATATCCAGCTATCTTCCACAAGAGAACTTGTTTATATTTGAACAAAATTCTTACCTAAGGTCCTCAAAAGGGTCAGCTCTTACAAGGGGTGTCTCCACTGAATGTTCAAAAAGAGCCCCTTCAGGACCTAGACAAGAAACAAAATGTATCATTTTACAAAAGTTAAGTAAATGACACTAAACAAATTAAAGAATTAGCCGACATCTTTGTTGCTGGATTTGTGTAGATCCTTTGAGTTGTAGATAATAAAAACTGGCATAGATCTGCTTTCTTACTTTTCCAAGGATTACGTGATTTCACTAGGTTCCTAGAAACAAATACTTTTCAAAGCATTTATAAATACTTATTTTAAAATTAGAGTGCAATATTTAATCCTTAAATTGAAAAAGTAGTAATTTCTGTTGAAAATTGCTTCAGCACATTATTTTAGGGTGATTGAATTTATTCAATTTTATGGCTAAAACTTGTATCTTATACTATCTGTTTCTTAGAGCACTACAGGACATTTATAGAAAAGCAAAAAGTTTTAAATATTTGAAATTGAATTTCTGATTTCTAGGAATCCACATGTTTGTTACAGAGGCTGGCACTCTGTCAGCTCCACTGCTTCTGATTGTCCAGCATTTCCCCCTGGTGCTGTTAAGTCTAGCACTGTCCCACACCTCTAGCTGCCACCACGAATTGGATCCTGGTGCACTGCTTACAGAGTGCCACCAGCTCCAGGCTTTTACTAAAGGGACTGCCCCATCTTTACATGAGCAGCTTTTGTTTTAGACTACTGGGTACAGTGGATGCTATCTGGAGCAAGAGCCAGCCACTGGTGATCTTAGAAACTCTTTTCCCCAGTTGCCCCTTTGCAAATAAACCCCATTGTTGTTGCACCTAAGCCTGAGTGGTGTCTTATAACTGTCAGCACACAAACAGAAATCACAGATAGTGACCTCTCACCCCCCTTGGCACTGTTTTAAATATATGGAAGGTGTGGACAATGATTTTCAATACAGTAGCTTATAGACAGGAAAACGTGACAATTTAAGAATGAACAAACAATCCAGTTCCCTGGAAAAGTAAAGGATTTGATAAGGAAATATATCTTTCATATTATATTTAAAACATTTCTTATTTTTATTGGCTTATACAGATTAAGTAGCACCACACTGCTTATAAAAATACTTTTTTTTAAAAAGATTTATTTATTTATTTTATACAAGAACCGGGGTACAGGCTAGATGCGCGGGAGGGTGAGAGGATTCACCAGACACAGAGTGGGGAAGAGAACAGGCAGACTGACGAAATAAACTGCTGAGGGGAGCAACAGGCAAGACAGGAGAAGTCTGCCACACCATGTGGGACCCTCGCTGGTCAGCCGGGATCGAACCAGCGCTGCAGAGGCTGTGGACAGCTTCACAGCGCTGCGCTCAACCGCCGGCGCCACCACTATAAAAATACTTTTTTATGATTTACCTAGGTGCAGCTGCCTGTCTTAAGCTCTACCCTTTTTTTTTGACGTGCCTCCTTTGGCCCTTCTGGTACCTCCCCACCAGTCTTTTAGGCCTCTCCCCTGTCGCAGGGCCCATTTGCAGTTTGCAAATAATCTGTTCATCTCCTTCTTTGTTCCAGAAGTGGCCCAGAACTGTCTTACATTGTGCAGAGTTTCCTTTTTAAGAAACACTGAAAGCAATTCAAATGTTTACTTTCAAATATACTTTTGCACTGGTTTTGATATTTAGCATTGAAATAAAATTGCTGGTGTGAAAGTTTCCGAGACACTAGTTTGAGAAATCATAAGTCTGAGCTAAAAGGTTTTGTCAGCAACCCTTACTAATTTAACAATTTACAATATCCTCACATTTTCAGCACAGTATTGCTAACTAGATCAGTTTTGTTAATATAGCTACTGCTTCTTCAGTAACATTTAAATATGAAGGATGAACAAAGCATACATTGAAAGCCCTCACTCAAGAAATAATAGTTTGTGGCACATAAGTAAAAGAGACTTTAATCAACATAAAACAAAATGTCAAAATTACAAACCAGATTAAGTAACATAGTTAACAGAAAAATATAATCAACTGAAATAAAAAAACAAAAGTGAAGGGTAACATTTCATGCAATTTATATTCAGATGAGAAACAGATGTTCACACATGCTGTAACAGGATATACCTCTTAAAATACTACTTAAGCAAAGCTAAATGATAATGGAAGTCATTATGTAAAGTAAGGCTATACTGAGGATTGGAGTTTCCACAATAAACTGTGCTAATCAAATTTTGTAGTTCAATGTCTGGTTTGCCTGAAATATAAAAACATTTTTCTATTTGACATGGGAAATAATTTAACATAGTATGCACGTGTTATCCTTTATCCTTTTCCCCTTTATCCTTTTCTTTCCCCCCTTGCTTTTCCTGATTGACAAAATGTAAAAGAAAAAAATAAAGAAAAACCACTTCAAATCATCCATTAATAAGACAGGTAGAGATACACTATAGTTTTATTCACTAGGTAGATTTATTGTCTAGGTTTATATAACTGTTCAAAACGTGACTAGAAAAACCTGCTATGAAGAAACTAGGATGAACTTTAAAATAATCATCAAAAAATAATCATTACTTTCCATAGCTAGGAACAAAAGGAATGCAGGCCATAAACTTGTATAATTATTTTTTATCTATTTTATATAAACAAATGAATTCATGAGTAAGAGAAAAAGTCTCAACACATTTTAACTATAAACATACAGTCTTTACAAAATCCAGCTAGAAATTGCAATAGGCTATAATTTTAAAGGCAATTATTATTTTAACACCACTTCAATTCTTTTCCCCCATGAGCTAAATTTTTAAGAGTGTCAATGGCACTATTTTACAAGGAAATGTAACTCCATAATTAGTTTTTAAATGCATGCCAAGGACTTAACTTCTAATATTACCAATTAGTGATATTATAGTATCATGTGATAATGGTAATACATTGATAGGCAGTCTGTAAAATAACATGTTAATAATAATAATAATAAAAGTACTATGTTTAACTAAGAGGAGCAACTTTTTATTATTTGACTTGTAAATGCTCAAATTATGTGATGTTGATTATACCATTACTGTTAAGTCTCAAATACTCCTAAGATCTATTTGCATATAAAAATGGATGCCTCTAAATAGTTTCATAAAATAACTGTCAGTAAATGGTTGTTGATTTTCAATGTAATTATATTTCATTTATATTTGTAATCATATTTAATGTTCCCAATCAAGATTATATTAAAAATTGGTGTAATATCTGTTTCCTGTGGGAAATAGTACAAATTTTTGATTGTATATTCTAATTTTTTTCTAATTTTTAACAGAAAAAAGTTCTACTATATCATATAAATAAAACTATCCTGTATAATATGACCCTGTATAAATATATTTATGTGGGGAAGCATAATCCAAAAAGAAAAAAAACTCAGTTGAACTTTATAACTTTTTTTAGAATATGTCACTGAGATTAGACAGTAAATGATCTGGTCATTTCTACTATAAAGTATCAAAAGTATTTGGATGACACAATTCTTCCCCTCTAGATCCTGGAACAATTTATAGTGAAGATACAGATTGTGATATAAAATCAATTGAAATGGTAGTGAAGGCAGTTGACGGAGTTCATGGATAGAGCCCAGTGGTTGAAAGGGAAATTGCTTCAAGTTGACCATTCTTCCCACCATGATGTTGTTCGAGTACTTAAGAGTTTAATATTAATACTTCTGTTCAAACAGTGGATGATACCCACCCTGACCTTTGTTAGATTTTTTGTATCTACAGAAATCATTGTTTATAAGATTAACCTTACACTTTTATTGGACTTTTATGGACAAATATGGCATTTCAAGTGCTGCCCAAAAAAAAAAAAAAAACATCCATTGCTTTGCTTTACAGCCAAACTTCCACGTAATGTTTCTATTGTCTATTCCATTCACATTGTCACCACTTAAAACTGTTTTTTGTCCATGAAAATGCTTGTGTTAAGATAATAATGACCATAATAATCAATTCAATGGTAATTTCTCTCCTCCTATTTTCTGGACCTCTTTGCAAGAACATAGACTCTCTTGATTCCATGGCTCTTGTGGTATTTCTCCCTTAACATTGTCTTCCTTCTCACACTCCTTTGGTATTTACTCTTCCTTTACCTCACCTTTAGTTTTGGCATATCTCAGCATTCAGTAAATTTTTTTCTCATTTTTTAAAAATTTTTTCTGCTAAGTAAGTGATCAACAAGATAACTAATACTTTTGTTTTTGTTGTTTTTTTAAAAAGATTTACTTATTTATGCATAAAGAAATGGGGTACAGGCCAGAGGTATGGGGACTCACCAGAGACAGAGTGGGGAACAGAACAGGCAAACCCACTGAAACACACTGCTGAGGAGAGCAGCGGGCAAGACAGGAGAGGTCTGCTGCACCATGTGGGTCAGCTCCCTGGCTGGGGATCAAACTTGCGCTGCAGTGGCTGGTGATAGCTTGATAGTGCTGTCTTTAACTCCTGCACTACCAGGAAGGCCCCTTTTTCTCATTTTTTTAAAGACCTTCCACCAAACCACCTATGCCATACTCCATCTGCCTCCCTCTTCCTAACCCTTTATTCTGAGTTCAAATTTTTATTCCTTCTATTTTTAGCATGTAATTACTTTTGGGGTATTTATTTCCCACAGATGAGTGAAACCATCTGAAGTTGTCTTTCACTTTTTGACTGATTTCACCCAGCATAATTACCTCGTTTCATCCTTTTTGTCCCAAATGCCACCATTTCATCTTTCTTCACAGCTGTGTAATATTCCATTGAATATATGCTCCACAATTTATCTATTTATCTCAGAGTTCAGTTAATTGACGATAGCTTCATTTACATCTCTAATCAAGACTTAAGCTTTGAGCAATAGATAGCTCACATAGCCAATAGCTGATTTGGCACATCCATTCACTTGGCCTTTTCACAGATATATTCAATTAATGTGTCTACAGTATTAACTGAAGTTTCTTTCTGCTAAATTATTCTCCTCAGGCTTCTCCATAACCAAAGGAGTAAGGCTATCATTTACAAACAAGTGCATCTTTTCATCTTTGATTCCCTTCCAAATGCCTGCT